GCCCCAGATGTGTAGGGACTGAGAGGGAGTGTAGACCCACAGAGAGTGGACAGTCCAGGGGAGCTGTGGAGTCACAGCCAGCAGGCCCTCCATGCACACTCACCCGTGCCTCAGCGCCAGGCGCACAAAGCCTTTGCGTTTCCGGAGCGTGAGGCAGTGCTGCCCTGGGTTCGCATACAGGGCCTCATGTGCACCCCCTATTGCAATGACCACGGCCTGTCCACGCTTGGGCTGGGACAGGACAAAGTCCAGGCTCTGGCGGTTCACAGGACGCACTCCTGTAGGCAGGGGTAGGTGGGAAGCAGTCAGCAGCCCTCCACTGGCCCTTGGCCCCTCACCCTTAGTATAGGACAGGTGAACCCTGAATTCTGTTACTTCCAAACCCGCACCCAATCCCCATGTCAGAGCCCAACAGTGAAGCCACTCACTGATGCCCGCTGTGAGCCTGGCCGATGTTCTGGCCAGGTCCCTGCACTCAGAAGAGGGATGCCCTGGGTGTCCCAGTGTGTGGGGAGCAATTGCCCAATTCTGCTAGAGGCTCACCATAGCTCATAATGTAATCTCGGTAGACTGGGAGGCAGAAGAGGCCACTCAGTCCAGTTTGACAGGTCTGAATCCCTGGGAAGTGCTTGGAGAAGCCATTGCCCTCCGTGGAGAAATTACAGGTAGTACTGGCACACACGATACCATGTGGGTGACTTCCCACCACGTAGTTCTGGTTGGGGGGCAGCTCTGCTGTTTTCATCAGCTTCAGGGTGTTGGGCAGGATGAGCGGGGGAGGCAGAGAAGGGAAGACACCAGCTGAAAAGAGTTGCCCTGCCCCCCAACAGATTTCAGAATTCAAGGTCCTAGGATGGGATCATTGGTCCTCTCCTGGAGGCCATCCAGCCCTGGGGCACTGCCCCAGCTTATGTGCTCAGGCTCCGTCCAGCACATGGAAGGGGGAGAGCAGTGTGGGAGGTGGGGGAGGGTGGAGGCAGTCAAAGGACCCATCACCTTGATAGGATAATAATCCCTCATGTCCTTCCACACTGTCAAATTCCTCATCCAGTCACAGCGCCTTCCACCTGTAGGCAAAGACAGAGGGCGCCAGAATCCCTGGAGGTAACCGCCTCCCCCCAGCCACCATTTCTCATTACCTGGGCCCCTGTCCACAGCTCACCTTGGTTAGGTGTGTCCCAGTCCAGGTAGAGCCACACCAGGTAGAGAACAGAGATTGACCAGACTGAGGTGAACAGGAGGA